TGAAGAAAGCATTTTTCTAAAATATAGAGCTAAACTCACCAGTTTTCCAAATAGAGATTTCATTGCTTGTTTCTGTTGTAAAAACTGGATCTCCTCTTCCTCCTCTGCAGCTGTATAGACCTCCCTCTGAGATGCTGATGACTCTGTATGGCTCAATGTTTCCTCTGGTCTGGTCTACAGAATATTGTTGCCCATTTCTGAACCAGTCAAACTTCCAGTCAGCAGATCTGTCCACAGAGCAGGTCAGTCTAACACTGCCCCCTAGTGGTATGATTGTTTCCTCTGCTGTCAGTGTGGTTCTGGGTTTATCTGCTGTTAGGTTGAAAACAAATGTAAAAAAAAACAAAGAAAATCATATCATGAGTCTTATGTCATGGGAAGCTCTTTGTTTACACCTTAACATTTTTTATCTGTGGTTATTTTCCTGAGAATAGATCACTCGGCACAAACTCTTTAAATAACACTTCATAATGTTAATGTATTAAAATAACCTTCAGACATGACAACAGATTTTGACAGAAATTGTTTTGTCAGAAGTTGCTTTGAATTACAGAAGCTTACCAACCGGGCTCACATCTCATTGAATTCGGGCCCAAATCCCAGTTAAAGAAGCATTTTATACAACTCCAGTCTGCCGCATCATCACATCATTACATCATACATGTTTGTAAATGAGGAGACATCCATGGCTCCAGCATAATCAAAGTATTACACTATGTTCTTAGATCAAGGCTCTCATTCCATTCCCAAATCTTTGCCATGTACATTTGTAAGGTGACTTTTTTTATCCTGACCAAGGAACTATCCCAATTAGATAAACTACTTAGGAAAACTTTAGTTCTGACACAAAACAGGCAGGTATTATGAGGGTATTGTTAAGGATTTGTTAGATAGGTTAAAAATATATTTCTTTTACCCCATCTAATAATCTTTAAAAAATGACTGTTGTTTCGTATTTAACTTAATTATTCATAGATCTTACATGATCTCAGTGTGAATTTCTCTCCATTCTATACATCAGATTCATTGGGTTCTTACATCTTGTTGGCTTAGAAACTGTTCACAATAAACATTTTTTATCAGAGTATTACATCGTTCTTGTAAACTAGCTTATATATGAAAGCCATAGTTTTACGTGATCACCTATTCCAGTACTCATTCTGATCAGTAAAACTGTAACTTGATGAAAAAAATAAAAAATACTGAACACTTAGGGAAAAGAAATAACATTTCAAATAAAAAAAGCATATAAACGCTTTATGCTGTTCACATCAAATGCGTTTTGAGTGTAGAGCAATGGTGTCAAAAGTGCACACATTTGTTACTTTTTCCTAATGTAATATTAGTGGGTAAATTTAACACACATCTGGAAAATGGTAATTCTCTCACTAAACACTTTTTATTCTGCTTAGAAAATGTTGAATTAGATTCATTCATGCATTTCCCCATACACACAAAAGAGCTGAATCAAAGATTCAGGCAGCGGCATGAAAGAGCTCTTGACAATTCCACAAAACATGCCAGCTACTAACTGGCACTGATCCTGTATCGTCTCTGCCTTCTGCAGCTACGGTCATCAAGTATTTTTTCTGGACTCGTAAATACATTCTTGACCGCTTAAAAAGGTTCAGAATGATTCGAGCAGACACGCACAGAGTAGCGGACACATGAAGCAGGGCTCGCTGGA